ACAGGAACTCCGAGAGACACCACCACACCGCCCCTGAGAAGGCCGGGAGGGTGCAAGGCCATCTGGGCCGGCCACCAGGGATAGAGGCTCTTGCGCGGGATTAGAAAGGGGAGGCTTTGGTGCGGGGACAAGTCTTCTCCACTCCTCAGCGTGGAGCTGGCCTTTTGCACACATTTGCCTGAGGAGTCAGAGAACATGATTTGAAACCGGTTCTTTGTTCCTCTCGCAGTGCCCGTGACGGCAGCCTGGCAGAGTAACTGGGCCTGTCCCAGGAGTCCCTGGCCCAAGCCCTGGGCTGGTGGCTGCCGGACTGGGGCTGGCGCAGTTGCAGCGCCAGCGGGGTCCGAGGCTGAGCTCCTGACCCTCCCTTCCCTCCCGGCCAGGTGTGGCTCCTACGGAGGTGAGCTCCTCGGGAGCCCCAAGTCCGGTGGCTTCTCGTGAAGCTCCCTTCTAATTAGAGCAGCGGTGAAATCATTTAGGTGATTTCATCTGTAATGGGAAAGCAACCTCCACCCCCAGCCCAAACCTCAGCTGACCATCCCGGAGCCACCGATGCCCCTTTCTCCCTTTAAAAAGTTTTAGTGGAAAAGATACAGAGCCGGGAAGCCACAGAGGAATGGGGGCGGGGCGGGGAGTCGTGAAAGTGAGAAGAGAGGGCGGACCTTAAATAGAAGTGTGAGTGTATGCGTGTGCAAGTGTGTGTGCGCGTGTATGTGTGCACGCGTGTTTGACTCTCTGCGGAGGGAGGAGACGAAACCTAGAAGTCAGAAATGAAACAGAATCGTGAATGTCTTCACCTACTGGGAAACACTTTGATCTGAGATCCGACGCTGAAGCAGCCCTGGGGGTTGCAGACTCGAATCCGCGAGGTTGAACCTCGCAGGCCGGCGGGGAGGCCTGGACCGGAGATATGGCTTCACCGCATGCATCCAGGTGCGCGGCACCTATCGGTTCTGACCCAGTCTCCGGGCCTTGCCCTCCCCCCCCCCAAGGGCTGGAGATTCTCCCAGCCCCAAAGTTCCGAAGGGGAAGAGAGCCAAGGGAAGAGCGTGTAGATGCCCCCATGGCTCGAGTGCGAAAACACACCAAGTCACACTCGCGTCGCTCCCAGCACACTCCAGCAGGCAGTCTGCCTGGGTTCTTCGGCTAGGGATTGACCGGGAAAGCGGGTTGGGGCTGCTGGGAAAAGCTGGAGCTGATGGCGAGATTGCCGCGGCTATAAATCCATCACTTCCCAGGTCAGCTCTGCGAGGCGCTGGGACTAGGGCTGGCGGAGTGAATTCCTGGGCTAGCGCGCATGCGTCGGCAGGTAGCAACCCAGCTCTTTATGACCAGGTGAGATGTTGGTGAGCAGGTAAAAAAGGAGGATTTGCCTAAGCGATTCCAGGGAGCGGGCCCGGCCGAGCCCTACAGCCCATGCCCGGCGGGGACCCGTCGCCAGGAGCGCCGAGCCGCGATGTCCATACTTGCCAAAATGGGGGACTGGCAGGTACGGGGGTTTGCCTTGGCCGGGGCTGAGGTGGGCGGGGGTGGAGCGGGGGAGGGGGCCGGGCGGGGGGAGGCGGAGAGGAAGAGCTGCGGCCCAGGGCTGCAGCGTCGTAGGTGAGGCGCGCCTGGCAGCGCCCAGGAGCGTTCCCAGGAGAGAAAGAGGGCAGGAAAACGGGCGCAGGCGGCGGCCGCGGCGCTGGGGGCCACGCGCGCCACCGGCCTGCCCGGTGCTGGGGAGAGTCCGGCGCACGCTCCACAGGTGGCCCCGGGGGTCACCAGTGCTTTGCGCTACGGACGCCACCCCCCGCCCGCCGCCAGTAGAAACTGGGGTAGATGACTAATTCAGGCGGGGGCAGGGCGCAGGCGGGCGTGCGGTGCGCCGCCAGGAAGGTTCCCTGCTCGCTACGCCTCCGATCTCGCCCTAGACCCCAGGGCGGCGCGTGAGATGGGGTTCCAGTGCACCTGTCTCTCTCCGCGTCTCCACGTTTGGGGGACCACAAGGGAGCGTGGAGAATAGAAAGGGGTCCGGCTGGACGGGTCGCGCCGGCGAGCACGTTCTTTTGGGGAATGCTCAAAAGAGTTTGCGCAAAGTTGAGCTTCTCGCTCCGTCTTCTTCCCGAAGCCACTTTTCACCGCTTGGGCTACGGGTTGGGGTGCCTAGACGGGGGCGGTAAGTGGCGAGTGATGAGGCAGAAGGCCTAGAACTGGTCGAAACCAACGCCTCCCGAACTTGGCCCTGCTAGGCCGCGGGTACCGCAAGGCCAGCTAGGCTCCAGACACTGCTCTCCCCTGAGCCCCGGGCCCGACCCCGGCCGAGGGAACCTGCATCCAGCGCTCTCTCCTTTTACGTTCCGGACGTTTCCCCTAAGGGAACCAGGGCGGCTCTGGCCAGGTTGGTGAGCATAGCAGCCTCTCCCCTGTCGCCGATTTCATAATGGGAACCGCGGGGCCTTCTTTTCGCCCTAGCCAAGCGGAGGCCTGGTTAGGGCGAGAGTCTATGTGCCTAAAAGCCCGCAGGCCGATTTGAACCAAACCCCCGATCCTCTCAAAGAAAATTTGAGGCCCTGCTCTTTCCGGGGCGAGTTCTTCGGCTTGTTTCAGATTTCGGCCATCAGAAGTAAAGTTCAGAGAAGTCCCGTCTTCCCTACATTCTCTGGAGTTGGGGAAAGGAAGTCATCTTGCAGTATTTATTTCTTTCATTGCACTTATTCTTTTAATCAGCCATGAGCTCTTTTAGACCTCTCCTCCCAATTAAACCTAAATAAATGCAATTTCATCTCCAGAGTTAGACTTTGTGGTTTAAGGGTGCAAACCCCACACCAAACTCAAATCTGGGGCATTCACACCTTTCCCTCCCTTGCCCCGGTGGATCTCAGGGCCCTTCTTCATTCTCTTCTCTGGAGGGGAAGACTAGGGGACTCCTTGACGGAGGGCTTTTGGTTTTCCCCTCAAGCCGGGAGAACTTGGCTGCAGAATTCCTCAGCGTGAGAAAACGCCCGCAGTGCAGGCTCGGCCAGGGTCTGGGCCTCCAGTGGGTTCGACTGAAGTTCGGAAGCAGCAAGATTCCAGCCTGAAGAGGACAGGAGTGAAGTCTGGGCCTGGCTCCCGTGGGTTCACAGTTTGGCTAGCGGTGGGAAGCCGGGATCTCGGGTGGGGCACGCGGATTTGGGGCCTGGAGAGGCCGGCTCCTCCGGCTTTTGCCTGTTGGGCTCCTGGGCCCACTGGGTGGCAACAGCTGGTGAAAATGGAGTCTTTCTCCTTCCCTCGTTGTCTCTCTGTCTCTCTCGGTGTCTCTGTCTCTCACACAGATACTCACTCTTCTCCCAACGCCCTCTCCACGCCCCCCTATCAGGCCTGGACCCCCGACTCCTGCCCCCAGGCCTGGCGCTGCTGTCCTGGGGTCCCGGCGAGGCCGGAGCATTGACATGCAATGAAGCGACTTGTCGTGGTAATGACGCTCACACACTACCGCGGCTCCGCTGGCTCCAGGGGCGACCGGGGCGCTTGCTCGGGCCTTTCTTCGGCGCTCCTAACGCGGGCTGCGGCGCGGAGCCCGCAAGCCCCAATCTGCACCTCAAAGGCGCCCTCGGCGGGAAAACAACAACAGTTTAGCAGCCCTGGCGGGTGTGGAGCCGGAGATCTGCGGGGTTCGGGTCAGCAAGGGGGGAAGGTGGAAAGGATGAAGGCCCTGAAATGCCTTCCCCAGCCCACAGATAGAAAGAAAGCGAAACCTAGATTTCCCCCAAGCACACCGTGGCGACGTTTTGGGGGTGTAAGATCCCCTGCTCCCGGGCCTAGGCTTTGGCCTACAGATCGCGCTCTGGGGCTGCGGCCGCGGCTGGGAGGGTGTCGGTCCCCCGGGCGGCCCACCCCCCGAATTCCAGCCGCCGCGTTGGGCGGCGGCCCCAGGCCAGCCCGCAGGGTGCGTGGCGCTCGCGCTGGAAGTTGACCATTTTTGCGGGCGGAGCGCGGCGCCGAGCCTGGAGCTGGGTTCAGCCAGGGGCCTGTGCCGCCTTGCGCAGGCGGGGACCGGGCGTGCAGGGGAGCGCCCAGGGCGTCGGAGGGAGCCCCTCCGGCTCTCTACCCCCCTTGCGGCTCTGGTCTTCTCCCTAACTTTCGGAGGGGGGGGCTTCTGGCCTACTCTGCCGGGCTTGGGGAATTGGCTGCGGTCGTCTGGAGGGAGAGTTGCCCTTCGGCGGCTGGGGGCGGGGGGGGGGAGCGAGTCCCCCTCCTCTCGCCTTCCTTCCACCTGTTAGGCAACGCTCGCATTCGCGACAGCCTCTACCCTCACGGCGAGGACGCACCGTGAGACCCGGGAGGCTGGGAGATTTGCAAGCAACAGGCCCAGATGGCATCAGAGGTCGTTCCTAGAGCAACTCTGAGGCGAGACCTACTGTTGTTGGGGGATTTGCCGCATTCGAGAGGGAGAAAGGAGGGTTTGACCTAGGACAAACGAGGAAGCTCGGCCAGATAAATTAATTACTCTGTATTTCCAAGGATCGCATCACGTCTTTTTTTTTTTTGGTCTCTCTTTCTTTAAAAGAAAACCTCTGTTTCACAGAAGAAAAAATTACAGAGCCCCGGTGGGGCGAGCAGGCCCCCGTGTGGACCGGGAGAGCCGAGACTGGCGGACCTGGACGACGGGGGTGGCTCCCGGGCCTCCGGGTTCCGCGCCAGCCGGGCACTGAGCCGCGAAAGCGCCCGCGTTAGTAACAGCACCAAATCATGAAGGAACTCTCCCTGCTTTAATTAAAAAGGGGAATCTTGGGAAAACTGGAGCAGATTAGCACAGCGAAGGGTTGGTTCCCTGCGATTTATTTTGATGCATGCATGACACGGCGCACACATGTCGGTATTTCGGCTCAACTCCAGAAGCGACTGTGAGTCTCTATAGGAGTTCCGTATTCCCGTCCACACTGCACCCAGGAAGCCCGTAGCCCAAATACCACGCTGAATTATCAGTCGGCCCTAGCTTCATACAAATGAGAGGAAAATCATTTAACCCCTGCAGCTGTCAAGTAACCTCTTCAGGGTACACTTTTTATTTTACACGCGGCAATTAAAGGATCCCAAACCCCAGCCGGGCGACTGAAGCCGTCTGGCAAAATCTCCAACCTGGGGGGGTGGGGTGGGCTGGGAAGCGCGAAGCCAGTAAAAGTCCCAGGGCGCCGCGGCCGGAGGTGTCAGCTGCCGGGGAGCGGAGGCGATCTCTTGTTGGGCAAAAATCCTGACGTGACTTCGCCGGTCTTCGTTTGGTGGTTACATCTGATTGCGAAAGGGATAGTAATTTCTAATAAGATTGGACGGAGCCGAAAGGACAGAGCCGCTGGTGGAGGCAGGGATGAGGGAGAGGTGCCGAAAGCTGGGCCCCGGCGCGGTCGCTCGGACCCTGCGCGGTGCCGGGCTTTTGCCGGGTCGTCTCCGGCGAGGAGGAGACGGAGAAGAGAGCAGAGGAGAGGAGAGAGAAGAGTGGCATGGGGGCGGGGGCGCCGGGGCAGGGCCGCGCGGCGGGGCTCAAGGGAGATTTCGTGGGATCCCCGGCAGGAGCGCGCTCTAGGAGCAGGTTTGCGGCTTGGAGAGGCCTTTATACCTGGGTCGGAGCGGCCGGCGGCAGATTGTGGTGCTGGCGAGCAATTGGACTATTGTTGATATGCTAATGAGGCGATTAGGCTGTTGGTAAAGAGCAGGAAAAGGGAAAAGTTTCTACCATTAGAGGGAGATCTCCGAGCGCACACGGGAGCTCTTTCCCTTCTCGCCGCCTCCTCTGCGCCCTCCTCCCCTCTTCCTCGCCCTCCTCCTCCTCCGGCGCTCGCCGCCCGCAGCCGGCACTTTGGGCTTACCCAGAGAGTAGCTCCACTTGGGTGCGAGGCGGAGAGGGGGCAAATCCATTCACGCCGATCCATGAAAATGCTTTGGAAACTGACGGATAATATCAAGTACGAGGACTGCGAGGTAAGCGCGGCGCTAGCTCAGTTGTCCTCGCGGCCGCAGGCGCGGAGCTGTACTTCCCGCGTCTCCTCCCCTCCTCGAAGCCCGCTGCGAGGTGCGGGTGAGACAAACTTTCCCCAGCGCAGCGCCCGCCTCTCCGATTCGCCCAAAGAGAGCAGGGGAGAGGCTGCAGAGGGAGGATGAGGACGTTCCCTTCTTTCATTTCCCTCCATCGGAGCCCCTGTCCCACTTCCCCCTTTTCCTCCTGACCGGTTTTGACTGTGCCTAAGAGTAGAGCGAAGAGAGACAAGCTGGGTTTTCGAAGCAATTGCTGGCAATTGGGCACGCGTCCGTGCACTCTGCGTGTCTCTCCAACGAGATTCTGAGGGCCCAAGTCACCAGGAAAAGAAAGGAACGAGAAAACCCTTTCCCCTCTTTAACTTTGTCTCTGATCTTTAATATTCCTTCTTTTATGTATTCATTCTTTCCTTCCTTCCTACCATCCCCCCACCCGACTTTTCTCGAAAGGCTCTTTTCTATTTGGAGAAGGGGCCCCCCCGCGCACTTCGCTCTCAGCTGGGCTGCACCTCCCAGTGAGCGGGTTCAGTTTGGGAACACTCATCTCCCAAAGTGCTGCGGGGCTCCTCCAGGTACACTATGTTATTCAGGAAGTTCTAGGCAGTTTCTCTCTCTGAGCTACTTGGTGGGCGCAGCCCTGGGGTGGGGATGGGAGGCGGCACCGGGCGGAGCCGGCTGGCCGCCGGCTCCCTACACAACCGCCGGGCACTCGGCTGCGTGACCGTGGGAATCCTGGCGGGGCTGCCGCAGCCTCCGGTGCGGGGAGCCCGCCCGGCCGGTAGAGCGCGCCGCACTGGAGCCCATTTTAAAAGCCACGATTCCCGGAGCTCGCCTTCTTGGGGCAGCCGGGGAAGCCCCAGGACTACCGGCCGGCCGGCGGGAGGCGCTGGGAAAGGGCCTGGCGGCCGCTGTCCCAACCCCCTTGCAACTCCCCGCTAAAAAGAGCCGATGAGTCACGGGAGGGGGAGGGGAGGGGGCCGCGACCGGAGAGATTACCTAAGTAAATAATAAGTGGCAGTCCCGGCTTTTGCTAGTTTTTCTTTCCTCTTTTCTTTCTTTCTTTCTTTTTGGCATGTGGAGCTGGGAATGTCAAGCTGTCTGTGTGGGCGCAGCGGCGGGGTCTTCACTTGAAATCAGAACCTGGGCTATGTGAACGATGTGTCACCCGTCCCCTTCCTCCTCTCCTTTCTGTAGACTATTTTAAATCTTTCCCGTTTCCCGGGTCCTCCTTTTTCCCCTCCCCCCTCCCCCGGGGCACGAGGTGACTTCCCAAGGGGACGGGTGCTTATCTGGGGACTCGTGTCGTGCGCGGTGCGGGCGCAGAGACTCCATGTCGGGCCAGTCGCTTTGTTTTCAGGGCTGGGGGGCCCTTTCCGAGCTGGTCAGGGTGACACTGAGCCCCTAAGCCTCCCAGGGTGGATTGTCGTATCCGGGCTGTGGCCTTGGGCTCGGGCAATCACCTTCTCGGAGGCCGAAACCCCCGGCGGGCGGGGTCCGAAGCTCCGCGCGGCGCGAGCTGCCCGTGGGACCCAGGTGGGAGGCGATGCACTTGTACCCCCAGAGAGGGACCCTGTGGGGCCGCGTGTGCATGTGCGTGTGAGTGAGACAAAAACAGATGAGAAGCGAGAGGAGGGAGAGGAGGATAAATAGAGCGAAGGCTGTTTCAACAACTTTGCGGTGGGCGAGCGCCGGAGCAGGGATTTCGGGTTTCCGAGCCGGCTTGGGGCTGTCTAATTATGTCGGGCTCTGCAGGGACACGCAGGAGGCGAGGTGCCGCTTGTTCCGACACCCCGGCGGGCAGACTGGCAGCGGCGGCTGGGGGATAGCGAGCCGTGTCATCCGGGGGGGCGGGGGGCCTCGGGCGGGAGTGGCCCAGCCAGTCAGACGGGTTTGCGCCGGGAGCCGGGAGCCGGTGCCAGCGGCGCCCGGGCTGGGCCGTCTTGCGCCTCTGCGCGCCCCGGGCGGCGTCCCGGCTCCCCCTCCGCGAGCCCCGGCCCCGGAGAGCCGAGGGCAGGGCCCCCGCCGCCGCGGAGTGTCCAGCCCCGGGAGTCCGCGGGAAGCTCGAGCGGCGGCCCGGGCGAGGGCCGGGCCCGGGCGGGGTGCCGGGCCATGGAAGAGCGGCGCGGGGGCGGCCGGCCGAACCCCGAGCCCCAGGCCCGGCTGCGGAGCGGAGAAGCCCGCGGCCGGAGGCGCCCGGGAAGCAGCTCGGGCGCCGAGAGCCAGACGAACGCCCGGACGCGGGCCCCGGCAGCTCCCGGCCGCGACGCGCGGCCCCCGCGGCATCCCGAGGTCTGCCCCAGCCTTTTAGGTCTGATTGTCCTCGCTCGCTTCCTCTCCCCTCCCCCTCCCCCGCGGCCTCCCCCTCCGTGCGCGCCGGTTCGGCCTCCTCCCCCTCCCCCCTCCCTTCCTCCTCTAGGGCTCTCCCTCCTTCCCGCCCTCCCCTCTCCCCACTCCGTGCTCCTCTCTCGCGCCCACACTTTCTTTCTCACACACGCACGCAGACACATTCTCCCTTTCTGCGCGCTCGCCCTCGGTCTCCCTCTCTCCCTCTTTCTCTTTCACTTTTGCTTGCCCTGCAACCTTTTAAAATGTTGCCCCTTCCCTGTGATTCGCCAGCCGCCGCGCCGCGGCCCCCCGCGCGCTCGCCCGCTCCCTCTCTCGCCCGCTTTTTGTCTCTCGCGCTCCCTCTCCCCTCCTCCGATTTGCTACACTGAAGCTCCCGTCAATGGACTGCATTGAGAGCCGGCTCCGGCGCGAGTTGCCTCTCCGCTTCACGCTCGATTTCCAGGCATTCTTCCCTTATTAAGTATTCGTGTAATATTAATAGTCATGAATATCTGCTATTAGCAGGCTCCAGGAACGCTGCCCAGCGCGGTTATTAGAAGCTCAAGCGAAGCCGCCGCTAAGAAAAGAGGGGGAGACACGGATTAAGGAACACGCGCGCGCGCGCGCACACACAGACACACACACAGACACACACACACACACTTCTTGCTTTTTGCCTTTTTGAGGTTTTTCATTTTTTAAGGAACTTTGAATCCTACCCGCTCACGGCAGGATAGAGACCGTGGGTTCGACCAGCTGAAGGCGCCGCTCGAATCGGTGGTTCAAGTTCGGATGGACCAGAGCGGGGCTCCAGCGCTCGGGGGAGCGGCGGCGCCGTGACCGGAGTCCCGGGTGGCGCGGGGCTCTCGGCGCCTTTTGTGTGGGGCGCGCTCGGGCAGCGGGGCAGCCGGGCTCTCCGGGCTTGCTTGTTGTTTTCCACCCTGACTCGTTACCCCAGACTCTTCGCAGATGTTAGTTCACAGTTTTTCAGCTATGGTGAGTCCCATCCCCACCCCCATCCCTGTTTCCTTAGGAATTTTACTCTGGAGAACCTGGGGCTGCGGAGCGGCCCGTCCTCCTCGCCCGGCTTTCCTTCAGGGCACCCCCTTTCCGTTTGCATTGCCCTCGCTCCTCGTATCTCTCCCTCTCTTCCATCCTTCAGCCGAATGCGGTACCCCCCATCCCCCCTCGACCTCTCCCGGCGCGCAGCCCTACCTCGCTGCTACTTCCCAAGGCGTGTTTCTTGCCACGTTTGTCTTTATTTCCTCGCCTCTTCACGTATTCCCGAGATGTTCTCAACATTTGATGCTTAATCCGGCTACAGGAAAAATGCTGCCCGGTGTGCCCCTTCTTCCCCTCGGGGTCCGGGGCTGTACCTCCGAGGGCTCACATTGCCTGCAATCAACTCTGTTCGCTTGTTTTGCAAGCGAATTGCAATAGAGGAACCCAAGTCAGGCGTTTCTTCTGCCCTTTGGGGCTGGGGTGGAAGGGGCGGGGGCCTCCGCCCCGGGGTGCACCTCTCTCTTTTAAACCCAAGACAAGGCTGGATCTTTCCATTTTAAACCTTGGCTTGACGTCCCTCTCTCCCCGTCTCTATCACAAATCGACCCTGTCCAGAAAAAGGCTCCTAACTGAGGAAGCGGATAAGACAGACCCCCATCCCGCAGCTAAGACCTTCTTTAAGCTGGTAACTTAAACGTGGGCTTTCCTTACAGCCCTCTACGAAATATGCTCTATTTAAATAGTCATGAAATGGTAATAGCCTTTGAATGGGTTTGACTGTTTTCCTCCACATAAATGGAACAGGGTAAACAATAACGCAGTGGCAGGCAGGTTCAAATGCAGGGACAGAGAAAAGGCCGCTTCTGCTGTTTAATATTTAGTAGGAATTTTAATTTTGCGTAAGGGAGGTTCCACTCCGCAGCTTAACGGGCTGTGTTCCGGGAGGCCCTTTTTCGCCTTTTCCCCCCTTTGAAAGAAACGCCTAAGGAGAGTCTCTTATGCCCCCTCACTGGCACAGTCGAATTGCCTGCGTTTGGGGAAGGGCCCTTTTCACTCCCGGAGTATTTTCTGAAAAGAACCGCCTAGGGCTTCTTTCTCGCGGCGGCCTACGGACGGGGACGGGCCGTTTCCCACGCAGCCCTGAGCCGTGCACTCAGTGTGGCAGCTGTAACTCGACGCCTGATTTCTTGTTCTCTGCCCTTGCCCTCGCTCTCTTCCAGGACCGTCACGACGGCACCAGCAACGGGACGGCACGGTTGCCCCAACTGGGCACTGTAGGTCAATCTCCCTACACGAGCGCCCCGCCGCTGTCCCACACCCCCAATGCCGACTTCCAGCCCCCCTACTTCCCCCCGCCCTACCAGCCTATCTACCCCCAGTCGCAAGACCCTTACTCCCACGTCAACGACCCCTACAGCCTGAACCCACTGCACGCCCAGCCGCAGCCGCAGCACCCGGGCTGGCCCGGCCAGAGGCAGAGCCAGGAGTCTGGGCTCCTGCACGCGCACCGGGGGCTGCCCCACCAGCTGTCGGGCCTGGATCCCCGCAGGGACTACCGGCGGCACGAGGACCTCCTGCACGGCCCCCATGGGCTTGGCTCAGGACTCGGAGACCTCCCGATCCACTCCTTACCTCACGCCATCGAGGACGTTCCGGTAAGAGGCCCCGCGGGCGGCGGGAGAGAAAACGCAGACCCTCCTCACCCACCCGCGAGAAAACGCCCGGAACGTGCAGCCCGGGGGGCCCGGGCTTTCCTGCCCGGCGTTTACTTTCTCGAAATCTCCTTTTGGTTTTTCGGGTGGACACTTAAGGACCCACCGAGACAGCCGCCTTAAAAAAATGGAAAAGAATTGTACTTGAGGGTCCTGCCCCTAGAAAACAATGGCTCCTGGAGCTCCTTCAAACAATGCCTGCATATTACCATTGAGAAATTAGACGAATGTCACCGTTGACGGTACCTTCCCCTCTCGACGACAGTAAACTGTTTCGACGGGGAGAGGATCTAATTCCACCACTGTGTCTGTCGTGGGGATTTCTCCCTGTCCTGAAAAACATGTTAGAGTCAACCAAAAGCGCTCATTGAAATGCCCTGGCCATTTAAAAGAAAGTGTGAAAGACACACTAGGAAAATAATTTTTACCGGATTTTATGAGTGCTAGTGATATCTGAAAGTTATGTGTATACCCTACCCTGATTAAAGAATAGTAAGTAGCAAGTCCGAGGAGGAGGACATTGAATGCAGCCTTTTTCTCTTCCTAGGGGTGCTAAGTGCTGACCTCATAAATCATTAACTGGGTTCCCAACGCCTTTCAGAACCCGCTACACCCCCATATTAAATGAATGTTTTGAGACTATCGGGCAATGCATTCTTTGAGTTCTAATTCAGTTATCAATAAATGCAGTTTGAAATGATTTCTAAATAAGCATGGTATTAGCGCATTTACTGTTTACAATGCAAACCAGGCTACTGATAATTTGAAAATACTTTATGAAATTAAATTTAAACCAGCATCTCTTGCTTCAATTCTACATATTTATGGTTTGCTCACAACCTTCCTGAAATGGAATTAGAGCAAGCCAATAATTTTATTAAAGCTGTAAAGGCTCTGTTAATGCTGCTTTTCTTTGGAGAGGAAATGTATCTGGATGTGATTTTTGCTAAAATGCTATTTCAAATTACTGCATCAAATATTGCAGCAATATGTCCGTTGACAGTTTAATGATTACTGCATTAGATTGCAAAGGAAATGGTCAGATGAACTTACCTGCTTGCTCGGTGAATTTAAAACATTATTTAAGTTACATAGGAAAATAGAAAATTTATTACATCTCTCATTTGGCCTAGTTAATCACTGAAATTTGTTGGTTATGTTTAGCAGCGTAACATGGAAAGCAGGAAAGTAGGCAGTTGATCCAATGTGGGGTTTAGTAAGCATTGTGTGTGTGTGTGTGTGTGTGTGTGTTTTCATACATGTTTTTAGAAACTGATACTGAACAGTGCATTTCTTGGAAAGTGAAATGAGAGGAGCAATAGCTGAGAAAAGGGCCATTAAAAAACAAACCTGGAAGTTGTGATCATTTTAGTTCCCCTTCCCAAAGATTCTCTGAATCCTTATCCTAGTCTGCTCCTTGGAAATATCTGAATCGCAAAATAACGTTGCGAGCTTTTGGAACTACTGTGAATTAGAATTGCTCTACTTTGCAAAAATTCCGAAGTGGCTGGTGTGAATTCTTGACACCGGTATAGTCACTCTTCGTGGTGAGATTGGCCTATAGGAGAAATTAATCAAAAGATCAAATAAAAACAAGGAAACCCAGTTGCTGCTCTTCCCCTTTCCCTCCCCCACCTTTTAAGAAAAAAAATTCTTTCAAAGGAATTTGGGTCAGGAAAAGGGTTGTTTTCAATTTTCCCATTGCTGCAACAGTTAACCTTTAATAAGAACGACTGCCAAATATTTAAGAAAATCAAATCGATGGTGAAAATTATTTAATCATTAATATCTCAGTGGGGTTTTAAACTTAACAGTCTGCCCTGTATGGACAAGGTCTAGAAATAACACAAATAAAAGTATTATGCCACATTACATTTACTTTATGGGTTTAGGGTGCGTGCATAAAGGGATCATATTTCCCCATATAGTTAAAACACAAGAACTGCAGCAGTAGTCATTTCTGAACATTTCTCAATTTAATTATACTTAAATCCAGAAGCACTTTAGGCAAGTTACAAATGAGAGCATTGAGTATAATAAAACCTGTAATAAAGCAACTTAGTGCCATCCACCCGGAATCATTGCGATCAGGCACAATTAACAGGAGCATAAATCCAAGACAGAATGGAAAATGTTCGAATCAGTATTATTGTTGGACAAAGACTAGAGAAGGAAGTAATAGTTTTTTTAATGGTAATGCCTGTGTTTGGTAACGATTGTGAAATCTTCTATCTCAGCAGCCCTGGTGCTAATTTGTAAACACAGGCAGACATTATATTGCCTGTCAGTTTCTGCATTAGAAAACACGATTTCATTTTACTTTCTAATCACGTTTTCACTCTAGCACACACGTATACCCATCCATCTGTAGAAAAAAAAAAAGGAAAAAAGAAACCCACACTAACAAATCCAAATCTGCTACTGGACACAGGAAAACCTCAAAGGATTTTTGTTTGTTTGTTTCTCTTTTTATCATTTTCATATCCCTATCTGATATCCAATTTAGACAGTAGTCCTTTTTAAATTTTTTTCATTTATCCATAAGTGAAGGTGTGTATATACGTTTGCTCTTTATCACATCACCTAAAACGTTTCCAATACTCCCCTGTTACTCCCGACTGTCATTTCTATTGTTTCTCTGGCTTTTGCTGCCTGCACGCTGGAATTGCTGAAGTCCGAAGCCGCTGAGGCGCCAAACTAAAGCTAGGTGTATTTTTAAAGGTTGAACTGACTGTGAGAAAGATCAAAACTCGGTTTAATTTCCAAAGAAAGTTTTATTCCCCACCCCCAGCTCCTTCAAATGTGGATTATTTGCTGGGGAACGAGAAATTGGCCGTGGGTGTACAGTGAAACCTCTTGAGCTGCAAAACCCCCAATTCCAATGAGCCAAGATGAGATGTTTATATATAAATGTCACTAGATGGGAGGGGGGAATTTTGAGTCTACACCTTCCCCTCCCCCTGTCTTGCACGAAATATTCATTTCCTTTTGTTTTGATTATACACTTACATCCATGTGTATCCTTTTGTTGCAGCATGTAGAAGACCCGGGTATTAACATCCCAGATCAAACTGTAATTAAGAAAGGTAAGCCATTTCCTTCTGCATTCCAAGCATGTCCTTACAGGCACAGTGCTATTTAAAAGAACTTGCAGAGCTGTGTTTATTTTTTTCCAAGTAGGATTTCCTAAAGGCTCAGAATTAGCGAATAGATAGGCATAGAATAGCAATGCTTAAATGATCGGCTTTCAGTATGTTAGTAATGGCAACAGGCTAGCTTTGTTCTGATTCATGACTTGAACATTTAATTTAGTTTAATGATATCTGGACAAACACATGAAATGTGTAATAGTTGAACAGATTTGGAAGTGGCATTTCAATTTTGGAACGGTTTTAACAGTTCAGTTAATCCATTGCGTGAGTGGCCATGAGTGTTAAGAAGTGTATAATGCTAAAAGCAGTGCAAGTAATTTAATATTAATATAGGAGCAGATGATAAAAAGACATAGCACTCCTTAGCAGAGGGGGAAAAAGTCTTTCATGTTCTTTAATTTCTCATTAGCTGTTAAGGGTTTTTTAAACTTTGTGAATTAGGTTAACAAAATTTGGCTTTTGGTTAAAATTAGCTTTTTGAAGATGTCAGGTTTATTAGCATAAATGTTTGGAGCAGAAATTGTTTTTAAAAAGTGTCAAGTGATTTGGATGGATTTGTAATTTGTGTTGTGTTTAGTGAGTAGAAATAAAGTTTACCGGATTAAATGCTATTCACAGCAGCTTTTTTTTTTTTTTGTTATGGTGGCAATGTTACATTTCAGGATTCTAGGCACCACCAGAGGACGATGCTATATAAAACTGTTCCCATTTCTAACCCCAATCAGTATATTGTTAGCGAGTTTAAAGTTTCATTTTTGCATCTGTGAAGTCTTTGTCACGTCAAATTAGATGTGCAAGGGATAAATCTTAAGAGATGCTCTTTCCAAGTCGACATGATAATTGGCTCTTTTATTAGTAATCTCTCAAGAGTTCGTTTAACTCCTATTGTCTCTATTAGCCTCCCCAGAGCTATTAATGTCACAAGTGATCTATCCAAAACCTAGAGCCCCCCCCACCTCCCTATACATCTAAAATATCCCCATTCAAGAGGGAGGAGTACTGTATACATGTATTATTATGCATACATGTATTATTATGTCTCCATGTGGAATTTTAAGATACAAATGCATACTGTACTTAAATGGTTATGAATGCATCTGAATTATATTGGTGTTAGAAATGTAACATGTTAGTACACTTTCTGCTGGCCTTGAATTTTCTTCTAAGTATGGTGGATCCAACGATGAAGAGCTTATGATTTTAACTAACAAGAACATATCCTCCCCTTCCCCTCTTCCCAAAGAAGACGCTTAAGCATAAGACTATTAACTCTTTGCTCATCAAAAGAACACACTGCTAGTTTTCCATGGTAGGCCTGTTTATCCTTCTTTCTCCCAGTTCAAAACGGGGCTTGGAATGGATTTCCAAAACTCGAGTCTTTTTCACAGATAAACATAGGAAAGGGCCTATTTATCAAAAGGACGGGGTGTGACAACAGAATCCACCACTTCCTGGCTTGGTGCCTTGAATGAAGTGCTCATTTACAGGCCGCTTTAGCCATCTAAACTCTCGGCTGATTTTAATTGTAGGTCTGTGAAGCAGTTTTTCCCCAACGCTAAACCCCTCGCCCCACGAAAACTCCCGAGCCTACATAGCTTGCTCTCGGTTTACAAACGTCACCCCCTCCGCTGCACCCCAAGCCCGTGCTCCAGCACCCCGTCTGGGGGCCACTTCCCTCGGATGCTGAGAGCCGGGAGAGTCACGAGTTCACCACCATCTCTAGGCAGCGCGCCCCAGCGGTTCAATGGCAAGGGTCCAGGGAGAAGCACAGGGCTGGCTGGCGGGGCTGGGCCGCCCCCCGGCCGCCGGTGAGACGCGCCGAGGGGCACAGGCTCCATCCCCGGTACCGGGATGGAGCAGGGACTAGGGCAGGAGATGGGGAAGGAGCCACGGAATTGTCAGGGCTGGAAGAAAAGCGGCGGTTGCGGCGCAAGCCTGGGAGCCGGCCCGGGCCGGGACGAGGGCCGGGGTCGGGCAGGGCTCGGGAGGGATCCTCGGCGCCCACACGCGGCCTCCCCGTCTGTCTCCGCAGGCCCCGTGTCCCTGTCCAAGTCCAACAGCAACGCCGTCTCCGCCATCCCCATCAACAAGGACAACCTCTTCGGCGGCGTCGTGAACCCCAACGAAGTCTTTTGTTCAGTTCCGGGTCGTCTCTCACTCCTCAGCTCCACCTCGAAGTACAAGGTCACGGTGGCGGAAGTACAGCGGCGCCTCTCACCGCCGGAGTGTCTCAACGCTTCCCTGCTGGGCGGAGTGCTGCGGAGGTGAGGCCCGAGCGAGGCCCTGCCCGCCAAGCATTGCGCCTGCGCCGGGCCGGCGACGCGGACGGGCCTCGCGCCAGGGCCCTCCCTTCGCGGGAAAAGAAAGGGGCGGGGAGAAGAGCGTAGAACCCGGTGGGTGGGAGCTGGGGGCGGGGTGAGGCGGCGGGCGCCTGCGCACTCCGCCGCGTTCCCGCGCGCTCCGTCGTTCCGGGGGCGCGCCCGGGTCGGCCGGCGCAGCGCGCTCAATGGGACCTCTGCCTCCTCCCACCCCCTCCCCGCGCGCACGCGCAGTTCGCCCCGCCGCGGGCTCAGTCCCGGCCGCTGCAGCCGCGGGGCGCCGCGCGCCCGCCTTTTCCCTACTCGCTCACACCTTGCAAGCCTAGGAAAACTTCCTCTCAGGCGCCTCACTTTGCCTTACCTCCATATAGGGTCTCCGATTGCAGCCCGCCGTCCCTTGAATAGGGTTTAAGTAGAAGACAATGGTTTTCTCTAAAGTCTCCGTGCCACGCCCCCGGGTCACCAGAAGCAGACCCTCCCGCGCGAGGTGCTCGCACTAATGGTTCCGATGTACCGCGTCCCCGTGTGTGCCAGGCAGCGTGCGAGGCACGTTTACGTGCATTATGTGTGGTCGCTACCGACGATTGCATGTTGCATATGTGGCCAGGGATTCTTGTCTCACCCACGCGAGGTCGGAATGATTCATTTCGTAGATGAGATTTTGTAAGGGTCGGCGAGGTGAAGCACCTTCCCTCAGGGCAGGTTTGTCCCTCCTCTGGGCCTTTTGCTCCTAGGGTTCCACCCAGCTTTGTGTGTGGTGGGTCTTGCGTTGAACTTTCCCAGATAATATTTTCTACTTTTTCTCCTTTTTAATGAGAAAGTGGACCAAAACTTCATTCTTTTGACATTTATTCATATATCTGTTTATAGACCCAGAGTTCTGCTGTGATGGGTATATCCCATACAAAGGCTACAGAGTTTAACATCAGCTATTCCACTCTTTCCTTCCTCCTTCACGGTCATTTGCTGTCCCTTTGTAATCTTTCACTGACACAGATCTGAATCCGCCCTCTGCCTTTTTCTCCCCCTTCCCCCCTCCCCAATATTGGAGACTGTTTACCTAGGGGAGTATAATCTAATCCACACAATTAAAGAGCACTTGAGTAGGGAATAAAATCTGAAATTAATTAATTTGCTGTTTTATTTAAACAATTTATCTTAACCACCTTCTGATTATGGGAGTCTATTTAGACATCTATTTAGAACCACCTCCATCGTCTCTGAAATCAGGGAAATTTTTAAAGGCTGATATCAACTTTTGACTTTTCTAGTTAGGCTGGTGACATGGCATGTAAACAGTTGGTGAAATGAATTTCCCACTGGGGCTAAAGCCAGAGAAACAAACGTAAGAGTGATGATAACTTTGGTTACTCTGAATAACCTCACAGCAGATCTTGCAAAGACAATTTAAAGACCCCATTGGGATTTGTGTGATTGTAACAACAGGGAAAATATACAGTCATCAGTTGAACTCAAAAATACTTCACACCCTAGAGATGAGAGCTGTGTTTATTTGTTTGTGGTTCTTCTTCAGAGAGTTGGGAAATCAGAACCTTCCAACCTGCCACAATAGTTGCAGTAATAACTGAACACAGGGGGTGCTTTAAAGTTTAACAAGCATTTATCGCCTATGTTCTTTCTGTACCATTCCTTCCTAGGTTTCCCTTCCTTACATATCTCGGGGCCAGGATCCTTAATTTTTAAAAGTACATTTTACGAAGTTGTCAAAATGACTACAGTGTGATGCAGAGCAACCAAATGTTTTCTGAATCCCTTTCTCACATGTATTTGTGAAACAGGGCGAAGTCTAAAAATGGAGGAAGATCTTTAAGAGAAAAACTGGACAAGATAGGATTAAATCTGCCAGCAGGGAGGCGTAAAGCTGCCAATGTCACCCTGCTTACATCACTAGTGGAGGGTAAGTGAGTTCCCTTGCTAAAGAGAAGGGAAGTTTCTTCTGAGAAAATGGCTAATATTCAGTGGCCAGATGTTTGGCTGTATTTTGTCAGTTGGGCAGTTTCATTTCTCCAGAAAACATAACCAGAAGTGAACGGAGTTCGTGTTAAAAAACTATTTGCATTTATTCCTGTCCTCCTTTCCTCTTCCCCTCTGCCACAAAATTACACCTCCCTAGCCCAATTCTGACCTAAACAATGTGAAAACTTAAGAACTGCATATTCCTCAAGTTCCAGTCTCCTTTATAGAGCTCAGCAGTAAATCACTTAAGCTATTCTGACATCTGCGTTTGAGAAATGCGTGACCATTACTTCCTGAATTAATTTGGGAATCTTTGACCTGCATCCTGATTTAAGACCATCCTGAAAGCTCAGGGTTATATGCCCTTTTAGGTTTTTGTTTTCCAAACATATGCTCCCTTATCTCTCATTTAATTGTGTTTCTCTACTGGAGAGGAAGAAAAGTGAGCAATTTTAGACTTTGAGTTATTTGGATAGGAAAAGAAAAAAGAAATATAAGCATTGCAGAAAGTGTCTCATGTCAGCTTTTTACACACACACACACACACACACACACACACACACACACACTCGCTTCTAAACCCCTCAAAACAAAGGCTCACCCTGTCCTCACTCGCTGTTCTAGATACATCAGAATCCAGTCACAGCAGTCACATCCCTACTTCCTCTAGATCCCTGTTAAGTTTGTCCGATACTAAATTGGCTTAAGTTTGGGTGTGTTGGAATGAATGTATCGTTCTTTTGCATTTTCCTTTGTGCTCCGTTGGAAATGTCTTATGCCTACAGGAAAAAGAGAGGCACTTAAGTTATGGCGCAGATTTCAAAACTACCATTTATATTTAAAGAAGGCACTTAATCTTATTTATATCTTGTATTTGAGGAGACATAGTATAATTGAACTCAAGTTCTAGCTTTGTAAATAATTTTTAAAATATTTAAAAACATAAAATTGAGGAAACCCTATGAACCATTCGTTAATGGTGCCCAAAATGATACTAATGTGACTGTTAAGTCATAAGCAATTGTTCAGTGCCAGAAACTCAGCTACAGTAGCATTATATTAAAAATAATACCAGTACATTGGGAACCCACCGTTCAGACCCCGAAACAATTATACGCAGAGAAAATGGTAGTAGCGGCTTTGGGTGTAGTGTGAGAGTGTGCATGGTTTTGGGGTTGAGTCCTGTAGCAGGGAAGCAGTTTCTGGAGAACTGTTATTGTTTGTGATCCGCTCCATTTTATGGAAACAAGCTCAGCGGAGAGGGCTTTGATGCTCTAATTGGCGCATGCGTTCTTCCGGAGCTGGAGCTAATGGCAGGAAGCCCTGCAGTAAAAACCAACTGGTTCAGGAAATTAAAACCAAAGATTCGAAAATCAACAACACAGGCAGACTCAGTGGAGTGACCCTCGAATCCTCTTGGTTAATCGGTTTGGATGAACAGATAATTATATGCGATAAAGTTAAAATGTAAACCCTTAGTCGTTCCCTTGCAGAAAAGCTCAAGGAGTAATTATGAATATCATTTATGAATGTGTTGATAGGTGTGAGGTTGGAATACAAGAAACATTTTGAAAGAGAAGGTGGGGGAATGTCATCGGGGTGGGGATGAGGCTGGAGGGGAGTTGATGGGATTTTATATTTTCCAATCGCCTGGGCCTTCTAGGCTAAGTGGCCATTTTCCCTGGGAAGCGCAGCCACCAGATCCTACAGAGAAGGAAAGAAAATGCCTGAAATGGGAAAACAAGTAGTGTGTGTTTCCTACAACATCTGGGTTAAGAAAATAAGGGAGCTGGGAGGCAGTTTTGATCCCAACTTTTTTCATTCTCTTGCCCTCGCCCCCCTCCTCTCACCTCTTGCCAGGAGAGGCCGTCCACCTCGCCAGGGACTTTGGGTATGTGTGCGAAACTGAATTTCCTGCCAAAGCAGTAGCTGAATTTCTCAACCGACAACATTCCGATCCCAATGAGCAAGTGACAAGAAAAAACATGCTCCTGGCTACAAAGTAAGACATTACCTCTTCGGGGTCTCTGTGTCTCACTGTCAAGAGAAACAAAAATCAAAATCATTTTTGCTCTCATTTTTGGCCTCTTTTCCTTTTGTGTTAATCAGCTCTGTTGTAAATATTGAAGTTACAACACAATCTAATAAACCATAATTGATTTTAAAGGGGCAATACAAGGAAGATTGTGAGTGCGTATTTCCCACTTTCCCCTCTCTTTCACCCCACGTTCTCATTTTTTTAAAAAAAATTAACGTGTATGGGGGTGGGGTATAGTAGGGATTTGATGGAAGCTGAGTGTGGATTTGCCACTATTTCTGGTCAGAAAGACCAGAATCAGGTTCTTTTTTTTTTTTTTAACCTTGTATTTTATATTGGAGTATAGTTGGTTAACAATGTTGTGATAGTTTCAGGTGTACAGCAAAGTGATTCAGCTGTACACATACATGTATCTATTCTTTTCAAATTCTCAGAACCAAGTTCTTAAAGGAGTGACACACTTGCCTGTATCAGTTTTTGCCTCTTATCAATATATTCTCCAAGGGCAAGGATTAAGCAGTGGCCTGCAAAATGTTCAAGCCAGAAGCTGTCCTAGTTCCAACCCTAATCCCTTCTCCCATTTCTTGCCTTCCTTTCCATCCTCCTCAAAAGTGCTGTGTACACACACACACACACACCCCCCACAAGTTCTAGCCTACAGGAGAGATGTCAAATAGGTTTCAAAATGGCCCAAGTTATATTCCCATTGGTGCCTGGGCTGAATAGCCTTCTGCAGGTGGTGTGTGAAAAGAAAATGACTGTTTTGATATGTTTTCTGGAAATTAAAAGGCTTGTTTGGAAGCCCTTAATTATCAAAGTCGATGTCACAGGAGGGCATGGAAGCAGGGGCAGCGGCCTCAGGCAGGGCAGTTTCTGGCCTGGGGACACCAGCTGGCCTTGGAGGAGGTAGCCTGCCACTGCTTCCTGTTCTCCATCCTCCCTTCACAGCCCCCCACCCAAAGGCTGCTGCTGCCTCAGGAAGGCCCACCTAGTCCTTGCTTCCCAGATTCAGAGACTGAGCTTCCCCTGTGCAGGCTGCATCGCCCATATTTCAACTTTTCCCTCTTCTCTTAGCTTCCTAAACACACCCATATTCACAATTTCCCTAGACAGTTTTTTTTGGTGTATGGGAAAAGAGGTGGAATGGGCGATTGAAATGTCTGTTTCTTCTTCCCCAAACCACTCTGACTTATCCCCAAGGAACATTTTTTTTTTTCTGGTGACTTTTATTTTTAAAGGCAAAAGAATCCCAAGAAAAGTTTTGCCTTTCTTGTGCACATCCACCCTGATCTGAAGGTGAATGAGTGGAGAGTTCATCCCCCCAAACCGCTGCCGAGGTCTCTAGAAGATTAGGGAAGAGGGGGCTCCTTAGTGTTTTGAGCAGGACAGCTGCTGGGTGCATGCTACTGGCTGTTGAAGAGATGCTTGCGTTTCTGACTCCTTGCCCCTCTGACTCACCTTTGTCTCTCTCCTAACGTGTGAAATGTTTTCTTGCGTCTAGGATGCTTGGTGTGAGCGAGAGAGGAGGGGGTTAGAAGTTTGGTGCAGCTGAGAGGTGAGAGAGAGACACACACACACACACAGAAAGACAAGAGAGAGGCATGTGTGGAAGTGTTTAAAGAGCAGGAGATGTTTAGGCGGACTCTGACAGGTGGCTGGGTCTCCCAACATGTGCCCCTCCCCCCCAGTCTGTCTCTGGGGCTCTGGGTCAGGTCAGGTGTCGGCGTGATCCAGGCAGAGGTAACGGCAGGGAGCAAGGTTTTCTCTTTGCTGCGGATGCTGCTGGCTGCCCAGCCTCATCTCTCTCTCTCTCTCCGCTCCACTTGTGCTGCAGACAGATATGCAAGGAGTTCACCGACCTGCTGGCTCAGGACCGATCTCCCCTGGGGAACTCGAGGCCCAACCCCATCCTGGAGCCGGGCATCCAGAGCTGCTTGACCCACTTCAACCTCATCTCCCACGGCTTCGGAAGCCCGGCGGTGTGCGCCGCGGTCACGGCCCTGCAGAACTATCTCACCGAGGCCCTCAAGGCCATGGACAAAATGTACCTCAGCAACAACCCGAACAGCCACACGGACAGCAGCGCCAAAAGCAGTGACAAAGAGGAGAAACACAGAAAGTGAGGCGCTCTTCCTGCCCCACCCCCTGCCCGCGCCGCCTCCCCGGCCCAGGCCCCGGCGCGCCCACCCACTACATCTCCATCTCCATCGCCATCATCTCCATCATCTCCATCATCGCCATCATCGCCATCTCCATCTCCATCACCGCCCCTCCCCCACCACCGATCACCACCGGCAGGTGACAGCTCCGGGATCAGCAACCCCCCACTGCTGCTACTGCTGCTGCTGCTGCCGCCGCTGCCGCCACCGCCTTCGGTCCGGAGTCTCGGGGTGCCGGGGACAGCGCTCCACTGTGAGCGGGGCGACCCCGCAGTCTCAGGCCCCGGACCCGGCCCCGGCCCCGACTTCCTCCATCAGCACCAACTCCCCTTTGCCCTCGTGTGGAGCCTAAGAGAACAGAACAGGCCGTGAAGCCAGCAAAGAAAAGTTCTGTCCGAGTTTGTGAACCCTTTTTTTTTTTTTTAAACTAACAAATCAACAACGACAACGAAAAAAATTTAAAACTTTTTTTTTTAGAAAAAAGAACGTAAAAATTAAAAAAAAATTATATGAGCTTCATGGGACGGAATCACCACCTTCTCTTACATACTTCAGATTGTAGCCATACTAAAAAAAAAAAAAAGAAAGAAAAAAATGGCAAAAAAGGCTAATGACATTTTTATCAGTATTGTGAATAAACTTGAACACAGATACTCGAAGTTCCATGTCTTGTCTTCAGTTCTAGAAGTTTTCCCTCTTCAAGGTAAAGCGACCAACTTGAACTCTCTCTGGCAACACGATTCACAGTTCTATAAGGGAATCAGTGTTCACGTCTCTGTATATATTTATTTATGTGTAATTTAATGGGAATTGTAAATATGGTGAGTCTGTTTTAAGCCTTTTTTTTTTTTAATTTATCTGGTGATCTCGTTTACCTCTTGTTTAGTGGGTTTTGAATCTTCCCTATTAGTTCTTCATGTGGTTCATGGTACTTATTTAGGAATCCAAGGTTTGGGGGATTTTTTTTTTTTCCTCTGGTATTCATGAATTTAGCCCTGTTGTAGCATGTTAAAGACGACAATGAAACAGCTGAACAAATAAAAAAAGTAAAATAAAATTTTATAAATAATTAGTATTACATTTAGCTTTTCATTGAACTGAAAGAAAAAAGTGATATTGGACCCTGGAAAGATTTTTAACTTGAGTGGTTTGATAACCGTTCTATGTATTGTGGGGAGAAAAAAGAAAAGTTTATTTTATTCCACTGTCCTCCCTTAAAAGCATCATTTGAGCAATAAATGAGTATTGTCTTTAAACCGAGGGTTAGGGATTCCCCCCCCCCTTTTTGTTCAAAGAACTTCAAACATTTGGGACCACCTGGTATTCTGTATTTTCACTGGCCATTTTGGAAGCAGTTCTAGCTGTATTGTACTGAGTTGTGCTGGCAGTAGTTTCCATGCCTGTCAATGTATCATAGTCCTTTGTTGCCCAGATAAATAAATATTTGATACGCTTTATGTCGATTTTTTTTATTCAGTGGCTGTCTTTACCCAGGCGTATTTTTGTTCTTGGCAGTATTTTTTATTCAGTATGGTTACAGTAATTGAGTTTAACTCTCCCTTGGCAATTGCTCCTTGCAATAAGCAGCTGAACCCATTGTTTCCCTCAAGTATAATAAAAACTTACTTTCAACTTGGAGTTCAGAGCAGGGTATCATTTAGATATTCCACTGAGTCTGTATTCAGACAAATGACACAATAAAACCCAATGTATTCTTTTGGATAAAAGATTGTTTGTACTGCTAAAGGAATGACATACTATCTTTTCCTTACTAGAAACATTAATTTTATTATTAAAAATAAAGTTTTATTTATGTTGATCCTTTAGGTTTTCATTTGTGTTTTGAAAACCAAAATATAAAACCTTCAGAGCCAAACATTAAGGATGACAAGGAAGATGGAGAGCAGACAGAAGAACCTCTCGCTCGCCCTCCATAGCTACTTTGGAATCTGTCTCGGAGGATAACTGAAATTTAAACTGTTAGTTCATTAACACAAAGGAAATACCCACTGCAAAATTCACTTACTTGCTCTGGCTTCTCAGTGGCTAAGCCATGCAAATGAGTGAAAACTAGCTCTAGTTTTCTGGGAAGAGTGGCAGAAATGTACATGGAGCAGGGACAGAGAGGACACATCGTCTCCCACGTATTTTAATATTTCATTTAGAGATGAATTCATTACTGTGCTGTTCGTAGTAGCTCTTGAGGTAGCAGAGGGGACTGGGAAACTCTGTTGGTTCCCAGAATCTTTTCTGCCTGTCCCCTAAATGCGCACCCACCGCTTTCCCTCACCACAGGGCTCCTCCTAGGACCTTTTAGAAATACAAAAGCGTCTCTGAGGTGGGGCGGGGAGGGAGGGGGAGGGCTGCGGATCCCGCCCCCCGCAGGCCCGTCCTAGCGCTTAGCCCTCACAGAAGGAAGGACTTCCTGTACATAAAAATGGCGAATTCAGAGCTTTTGTAAACTGATTTGGAAAGTCTTTGCTTTGGGAGTGAGGAGGATTTTTAATGGTTTAAAAGAAGAAAGTGGAGGTTGTTAACTGGAAGGTTCACAGGAAAGGTCATAGGGAAAGTATCTAGGCATACATACCGGAGGAGATTCAACATTTGTTCTTCCGGTTTGACATTCTGAAGGACTAAAGAAGCAAAGCATTAGACAGTGTCCATTTTGCAGACTTTTGCTTTCTAATCTCCTTATGGAAGCCGGTGTAAAATCAATCTCGACAGACGAACGAGAGTTGGTGGACTCTAAATTCTATTTTCCGAAGCCAGAGAATTCATAACAATGGTGGGTTTAAAAAAAAAATTGCAGATGGAAAGTGTACTCTCAGAACGCGATGCGGCAATTGTTTTTTAAAGCGGTTATTTATTATTTCCTAGAGAGACTGGTTAACTGTAACGTAGATGTAACAAAATAATGAGGCGAATGAACCCTAACTGTACATACTCTTGACAGAAATGAAATGCACACAGCACCGTAGCAGGTGAAGTGAAGCATTGTCTATCAAGGCTGTTTTTCTTGGCTGCATCTCAGATTGTGTGAGGATCCTAACCTCAGGCACAATAGCATTCATAAACAGCCATACATTTGCTTCTCTTTCTCCAATGACACATAAATACTCATTTTAAAACGAAAACAATCGTATTAAATACGATTCATTCATATCTGGATTTACAGATGCTTGTTGTGTTGGAAAACCCGAACCCAGTATAATCCTTGCATCCTGAGAAGGATAGAAGGGAAATAGTGTGTTAGAACATTACAAGGTCACAATAAACAATGGTTTCCAAATGCACAGAATTAGTTGTTTTTATTCTGTAGTAGGACATGCGGAGGATCATGATATTGTCATTTTCTTTTTCTTTTTTTTTTAAACAAAACATTTAAAGAAACTATGCATATTTTTAAGGGGTGGGGCGATTGGAGGGGGTGTTATTAAAAATGACTTTTATGGCTATATGGATTTTGGCTTTCTCTGTTGTGACCAACGTGTATTTTCTAAAACACATGGTGATTACTTGACAGGTCAGGTACTTATATACTGACAATAGTGATTCTCTTTGGATTGACTCAAGTTAGGATACACAGTTGAATTATGAGGGTGCTTGCTAGGCTGTGCTAATTACCACGCCCAATTTTTACGGGAACACAATGTTCCTTCCAGTTTGGCAGTCATCATTACCCCTTCTATTCTCCAACACCCTTTAAAAATCACAATCCAATCCATTCCTCCCCCAAATCGAATATTAATATAATTTGAGTTCTTGACGGAACTACCATCAGGACTGCAATGCCCCGCAGCTGAAATAATATTTAAAATAGAAGGGATTTGACATTTGAGAAGTCAGTGGCTTGAAATACCCAGTTGTACTTAGCTAATTCAGTCCTTAACCTCTGGTTTCAAATAAATCAATTACAGTCGATTCCACTTCAGTTCAGAAGTGCACAGGGTTTTAGTTAATTGAATACATTGTATTCACTTGCTAGGAATATTCATTTATCAAAATTTCAAATTTAATGTACATTTCTTTACAACTCAGGTTATGTTGGATTGCACAATCAGATCAAATTTGCCCTGGTTTCCCCAAATGCTGCTTAAAATCTAAATTTCACCACTCTTTACAAAACAATGTCTCCCCATTCCTTTCTCAATCAAAAGTAAATTCATAATAATTCCAGGTCAGGCAGGAGAGCTGCTTTCTCCCCACAAAGAAAAAAAATCTCATATGTGGTCATCAGCCTTGTGTTAAGTTTAAATAGGTTAAGAACAGAACTGGATTAATTAAGTTTTTAAAAAAGTATTGACCTGAAATTTAAAAAAAAATTACGCATGGTTTCCATTAGAGCTTAACTTTGCTGCAGCTGACAGGTATGACAGCATTTTGTGGTCTTAAAGCTGCAGGCCCCTTTTCTTAACCCTCTCTCTTCCTCTGCTTCCCCCCTCTGGCTTTTGGAGAAGTGCTTGAATAAATAGCAAATTGTTAACTGAAAGCAGTGCGGTTAAACGTGCCCAAATGAAGTTGTGCTTTAAACAGATATTGATGTATGCAGTGTTTTATATTTATTGTTTGTAGCATCCTGCTGGCAGTAGTTTACTGTTTGGAAAGGAAAGGGGTTAATTAGCGTCATTATCAATCACTAATGCTTGCCTAACGTGTCCAAAGAATAATCAAGTTAGAGGATGGCATGAAGCCAACAGCTGCTTCATCCCAGTTACAGATCTCCTCCTAAGCCACTCAGTTCTGGGGTCGTGCGGGGGGTGGGGGGGCGGGGGGATGGGGAGGTGAAGTGAGGGGAAGAATCCTCATTACTTGGGTAAAAGGGCTATAAAAACAAGAGATCCAAGAGGCGGAAAGTACAACGTAAATAACCAGCACTTTCATTCTCTGAGTTACAGGTGCAGAGATGGCAGTGGTCCTGAGGCAAGAACTCGTTCTTTAATTTGTTTGATTATCCAAGTTGGGCATTTGAAGAAACACATCTATGTTTCCCTATGGCTTAGCGCTATGTGGTAAAAAGGCATCTAAAATGCGAGGAGAGAAGAAGAAATAACCCATACAGGCCACAGACAAACCCAAGTCAACTCCCAGCAATCACCCAACAGTCCATGTCAGAAGAATGAAACCACAGAACACACCAGGTAACAGCAGTTCTCACACCTCTTAGGATGCTTAGGGGTATTTTTCCTTGTGAATTTCAATGAACAATTCTTTTTCATGTTAAACTAGCCTGCTGCACAGGTATGCCATGTCAGCTTTCCATTGTTATTGCTACAATGATACTGTCCTCCTTGTGACACACCGTGGGAGAGAAACTGAAAAATTTGACCCTGTGATGGGTTTCTCCTAGAAGCTTGTCTTTAAAAACATTATTTGCCAAGTTAACCATGAGTTAAGAACTAAAGACTCCGTTAACAATCAGAGTTTACTCAACTGTTTTTCCGAGGGCAGGAATGAATTAGTCCAAGGTGGAGTATTTATTAACAGAGAACAATTGTATGATTGAAGAAAACTATGATTTCTGTCTACAAAAGCAGTAGCCCAAACTCATCTTTGCCCCTACGGACATAGATGAGAAACATTCTCAATCAAATCATGAACGTTAAGTCCTTCCCCGAAGAAGTAATTGCCGTTTCCCATGGAAGACAGCAGGGTGGCCGACAGAGTGGGGAGAGAAAAGGATGTTGGAATGGAAAACTGTGTAATTCACGTGTCTTGTGTTTAGGGAAGGGAAGGTCTTGTGTTTAAAAAATGTTCTTCTCCTTAGGATCATGACTGAGAAAAGGAAAGGAGGGAATAAAAGAGATCTGGCGCTGAACCTGGGAGCCCTCTAAGTGTTAATCATGTGTAAAACTGTATTTTTTTCATCTTTGATGCCTAAAAGGGCAGTGTTGAACCAACTTTGCTTTCACAGAGAGATTTATTTTTTAACAAAAGAGCAACGCAGCATACTGCTAGAGAAATCTAGTTAGAGAAGAAGGAAGCTCAGGGGAAGATGACCTTTCCACAGTAGATACTTATGGATACGTACATTTCTCTCCATCCTCCCTTCCTCCCTCCTTCCTTCCTTCCTTCCTTCCTTCCTTCCTTCCTTCCTTCCTCCCTCCCTTCCTCTCTTTCCACCCCCTTTCTTCCTTTTCTCTCTGTCTCTGTCTGTCTGTCTCTTTCTAACCCAAGAATAAGTTTAATGTCTTTGGGGAAAAGCTTTGGTAGAATTAGCTTGATTCTCCACGCTAACATCCATTTAGAAGTGGGAATATTTTCACCAGCAGGGCAGGGATTTTTCTCAGAGTGGCCCAATTCCATGCTATGCTTTTTTTGCACGTGATTTTTCTGTGGAAACAAAGATTATATCTGCTAAGTTTCAATAACAATCTTAAGCACAACCCCTCAAACTGAAGTTGGAGTCTCGCGGTCCACCGTCTGTCCACTCATGGCCCGCTGTTGGGTGTCCATCACA